TAGAGCAAAAGTTAAGGCAAATTCATGCAGTCACCAGACAGGTATTAGGACTAAATATTAAATGTGGATCGCGGATCATGTAATGAATTTCTTTCCTCCCACTTGTGAACACTAACCCCTCAAGGGAGAAAATAGTGGTCACCATTAGCACTATCTCATCGCAAAGTAGAAGTGAGATGAAGGGGCATTGCCAGATCGATCATCACTCAAAGATTGTCCACAATTGGTAATTCCAGTAGACGTGTTCTACAAGTATTATAATGAGAGCCTAGAAGCAGAAGATGTGGCAGTCGTCTAGTTTGCTGATTTTCGCTTTTACCGTACCTATTTCTGCCTAAAATTGAAATGCATAACCATTTTTACTTTTCGAATGTCTCTTTTTTGCTATGTAAAGTAGACATTAATAAGAAGATAACTGCTTGCTTTTGCCTTAGAAGAATTATTGGTTTTCTATGGGATAAATCAATAAATTTTAAATTTTATAGGGGCTTAAAGTGTCAGGAAATCGAGCACTGGATGCTAGTGCTTTATTTCCAGTGAACTTTTACATATAATCGCAAATTTAGCACTCTGAAGCTTTCGATCCCCTTGTAGTTGGGGGGCCGTTGGTCGTCCAGTCAAAACAAAGACTTACTCGATGTACTTATCGATTTGCCTCAGTAGAGGTCATATCTCTTGACCTTTTTTATTATATATATTCTCGCTTTTACATCACTTATTTTTTATTATTTTAAAGAATTTTTGGACTTGCAAGTCATAGCTCATAAATTTTTGTATTCTTTTGATTTATTTATTCAATTCAATTTCAATTTCCGATTTAAACCAGTTTAACAACCTGCTCTTAACAACCCGTTCGCTATTTGGTTTTTCATGCAATCAAATCGCATTTTGAAACTCTGCCTCTTATTTAATAGGCAGATCAAAATAAAACCTTGATCTGCCTTCTTTTGTCAGCTAACCTATCACTTCTTATGACTTAATTGTATGGGTAAATGATAAGAAATACACTTTATTTATTGGCTTTCCTTTTCTTCCTCTTCTTTAGATCGAGTTCTGTTTTGTCATTCACTTCTGTTTCTGGATTTTGAATTTCGGTAATTGATGCCACTGCGAGGAGATGGGGATACAATTTTTAATATCCTCATGTTTGAAAATAATATCCAATGAGCGATTATTGTTTGATGTTGTCATGTTCGGGATAAACGAATTCATGCTAAGCCCATTGAAGCAGGAACAGATAGACTCAAGTGATCTCTTGTGATCATAGCATCCAGGCTTCTAACCTAGGAACTCAATTTCGTGCGTTCACTTATTTATAGTAATCTTTTCGTACCAGGGTTGGGGGGGGGGCTGAGTAAAGATAATTAAAAGTGTATTTAAAGGACATCGTGACACACAAGGGTTGGGATCGCTGGCGAAGATAGTGGAATAGCTTCTTTATAAATTTTCTTTCACTCAAACATGATTGAGTCAGAGTACTTTCGTGTGCTTCAACATATTTGATGTTGAAGTGGGTAAAGTGCTACCTGCCAAGTCATGTGCACGGCTATCTTAAACGCTATTACTACTGGTGTTATAGCTATTGCCTATGTTGAAACAAAGAAAAGTTGAGTTTTATAATTATGGCAAGCAATTCCGAATCATAATGACTCAGCTATTTTCTCATGCTGCACAATGTAAACCCTTCCTTGCTAGCGCTCAAGATACACTCGACCATAAAGTATGAAAAGGTACCACGGAATCTTTTCGAGCGAGAACTCAATCAATCATAAAATTTAAAAAAAAATCAGACGTAACACAAACACCACTTATGAGTCATAGGTTGTATGACACTCCATACGAAAACCGATTTCAAGACAGGCATATGAGCCATGTAGCCCAGTTAGTATCACACAAACAAATCGACTTTGTCCTTTTCTCAAATTAAGGTCGCTAGCAAACACCCTATGAAAACATTGACTTTTTTGGCTTAAGCTCAGCTGCCTGTAAAAGGATATGCGTGAACAGGCCTATGGGTGATATTTCGTGAGACGGACAGGCATGCGCAGGCTCGCTTGATCCTTGTGTATAGTGCGTTGGTGCTCCCCTCAAGCCTAGAATTTGTTTGATGCGTGCTTTGTGTGTTGGACAAGCGGACTGAGGGCGTGGTAAGGGGTAAGGGTGGGGGGGAGGGGGAGACGAGGATTGGATGAGTGGACTGCATTGAGGGGTAGAGAAAGGCTCACTGGAAGGGGTCTCGTCATGCCGTTGGTTTTCGCCTGTGTCTGCATGTGCGCTCGTATGCGTTAATATGGACGCGCATATGCAAGCGCGTTTTACACATAGAGAAAGCACATGCACGCAGGATTAGTTTGAAGGCTTCAGAGAGTGGACACCGTTTACTGCATACTCTGTGTATGCTCGCCTGGGACTTTTTCATTCTTGCTCTTTGTCGCCGCATCCTAGCCTTCGACTTCGCATATCACCTGCGCGTCTCGCCCCTCTCCCACTTTCCATTTGTGAGCATTGCCATGTCTTTTTGTTTTACTATTTGGCTATTTTGAGTCGCGCTAATTCGTAGTTTTATGGCTCATGATATCAGAGGACTCCCTCTAAACCTAGCTTAAAACCGCTTTTAGCTTCAAGCGTTATCATATTGCTTAATTTTTCTTCTCTTTTAATGGACAGTCTGTGGTACAGTAATTTTTCCCTTACTCTTCATGAAGTATACTTTTTTATTATCACCCACAACCAAACAACAAATGATCGTTTTTACTGTGAAAAATCAATTGAAATCGGCTCACAGGGACACAAACGATTTGGCTTTTTTGTATTCCGGTTGTAAACTGTTTTCCTGCTGGGTGATAGGGGTTTCACCTCAATTCTTGAGCAGATTTTTGTCTGGGTAATTCGATGCATTGTGACCGTTGGTTTAACTGCTTTGGCTATGCATAATTTCTTTATTTTACGATATTAAGAAACCGGAGTGTTTACGTGTAATATTATGACAAAGGTGGGACGGAATTCACTCAAATTTTTTAACAATATTTCGTGTTCCTAATTCGCTTCGTTTCTGGAAATCTGGCACATACTAGTTAAAGTTATTCGCAAAAGTAGTACAATGGTATCTTACAGTTTTAATTCTCCACTATTCTGATTTCTACATTTCATTGTTCTTTCTCACATTGTGAGTTTAAGTATTTGTTTCCCTTGGTCTGTTAGTCCAATCATCCAGATCGGTGTTATCTCAATTAGCGCCCGTTTCCCTTGTTATTAATCTTGATAAAATAGTGACCGAGTGAATCCTGCCTAGAGCAGTCGGTCTTGTAAAAATTTTCAATTTATTTTAGACTTTGTGTTGTCAGGGCGGTAATGATGTGTGCTAGATGAGGAACTCAGGTCTCTTTCGATAAGTGCTTTGAGTTACACATTTTGTCGTGTTATCTCGTCGAGATTTGATTGATCAACAAAGGCGTTTTTATTTATGAAGTGCAACTCAAATACGCGAAAGGAATAGCGCGTAATTGAGGCCTTATATGAGATATAACACATACTCCACTACCCAATTATTGATCGTCTCAGCTAATTTCGTGCGATATTTAAATACTGTTAATGAATTATCTTTAAATGAGGCAATTTGAGTTTTGCTTTCTTGTCTCGGTTCGATGCACTTGAGCAGGTTTGTGAATCGATTACAATTAGCATTTTAACGGGCACAGTCAGATGAAGGACTAGATTGATTTGTACTGACGTCAAGGTTGTTTTGCAGACAGATAACTACAGATTTACCACAAAAAGACCAAGAATTAAAACTAGGTTAGGTTGAAAGTTACTCGATGCGTCTCCTACTTGAGCGCCAATTGGTGCCCTTACAAATCACAATCGGAATTGAATTTTTTGAAGGTCTTTTAGTAGCGCTTATGAATAATTTGCAATTCTTATGTCCTAGCGCACGCAATAAGGTACCGTAAGCGTATTTCTTTTGTTTCATTGTTTTACTACTACAGGTTTAGGCTACGCGCGAAACACGTGGTTTGTTTGAAATAAATACTTAGTTTGTCTTAATACCGACTAGTGACTGAATGTGTTGTGGAATAATTTTAATGATCAGAGTAAAATTTATCGTCTTAAGTTTGTTCAACTGAAACTGAAGTGCACATATAGAGTCTTCATATTTTGAAATGCATTTATACATGATGTTTTTTTTAATTAAGAGCATATTGAGTTACCTCGTCGTAATTTGTAATTTAACTGTCAGATTTTCAACTTAATTCTCAGTTTCGCCATTGCTTATTATTACTCTAGTGTTAGCTATTTGAAAACTTGACTGTTAAGGTGTGTGATTGCATGTAATTTTCTACAGTAATTCACGACTTCTAACGTTGGATTAGGATTGAAGTGAACATTATTGGAACGCGTTTCTTTGATCAGGTCTGCTTTTAATGTCTAGTGCGATTAATCTTTAATTTTTTAATGGCTACCTAGTCGACTTCAATTTTCCGGCAGTAGTAAGCAAATATTTCATCCGTATTAATCAAGCTTATAACTACTTTGTTAAAGTCATAATTTAGGTTAAGTGCCAGGTAGGGTCTTTCGTTAGCCCTGAAGTAATATGCTTTGCAAATAAAATTTAAGTATGCCGTATCCTATGATGCCATTACAATGAAATTGAAATCCAATAAAGACCATTGGTTAACGCTCGTTACTTTAGGTAAAAATATTTTGTTAAGCATTAGATAGAATTATGGGGGCAGAAAATGGTTAATTTGACCATTTAGCGGGTAATTATGCGAAGATATGGACAAAATTTTCGATTTGAATTGTTCCGTAGGCCTTTAATTACCTGGTTTAGTCAAGAAGAATCGATATAGGCGAATTAAGCGTGGAAATGATGAACCAACCTCGATATCACTGCTACCACCTCCAACACACTGTTGTCAAATCATGCCGACAACTTTAAAAGCGTTACAGTGGCACAGCCACGCAAGTAACTTTTGATTCGTTCCAGAGCAGTTGTCAAAATGCCTTCCGGGGTGCTGATTGGTTAGTCCAGCTGGCGCACATATCGCATACACGCAGTATCGAGACTTTGTACCTAACAAATGGGTTTTAGTGTTTTGGGGTGCACCACTGCGGTTCTGTAAGTTGGCCCCACATTTTTCTCCTCTCTATTACATTTTTTTCCATTTTTATCCGCTCCTAATTCTTTTCACAATTCGATTATGGAGAGCATGGATTTTGTTCTCGTTCGGTTTTGGCTCTAATCTGACACGGAAACCGGATAGATGGCTATATTTTCTCTGACCCAAAATACGGATAAATCCACACTAATGAATACCGCGCTTACATATAAAGCTCTTTATAGAGTCCAAAGTCTGTCCATTCCTATCCTGAGGGGCATTTTTGAGTCTATTGATGCGTTAACTAGAGATTTACTATGATAATAGGCAAGATTAACTAAGCTTAGCCTATGGCGCTTTTTGAGTTTTAAGCTTTTACGGAAAAACCCAAGCCACTTGCGACACGTGGTTCTCCAGGTCTCTTTGTCTATGCACCAGTATTTTCCTTCGCTATGAGTCACACTCTAATCAAACAAAGCTACAATTTGTTTAACACTGCCTTTGTGCAAAATCCCACGCCGCTTTGCTGATTAACAGGCATGCGGAACCGCTAATAGTAGGCATATTAACGTTTTCTCCGGGGGCCCGGTCTAACTATCATCGATTGAGGGGAGTTTTCGGAGGCTTTTAATTATTGATTAGTTTGTCAACTTCTCCAGTCTCTTTTCTGCCATTTGACTAACGCCAAAATGAACTGCATGATCTTTACCTACTTTGACAGTAAGTGACTTGGGTATTCTCCTGGTTTTCTCCTTTGTAATTTAAGGTAGTTTAAATTATCAACAAATATTTTTAAGACTGTGGAGCCATGTAAATCTGCCATAACATTTTAATATAGAATGCTTCAATTTTCTGATTTCACCTGTGCACTAAAACACAGTTCCTTAATGCAAATTTTCATTTTTCTTTGAAGAAACTTCACTAGATGCTTGGCGATTACTATGCAGTGTCCGATTTAATACTTCATTCTCTAAAATTTAAATTCGATTTTTTTTTGCTAAATATTGTTTGTGATCAACACTTTCATAATGACATTCTTGACATATTTCCATAATTTATGACTTTGGCAATGGTGGTATGAATTAATTCGATAATTTCGAACTCAAGAATTATGTTCCTTGTTCCCTTTTTTACATGAATCTTAGAGTCTCAAATTGGTTTGTATAATTTTTTTCAAATTCTCCTTTAGAATATATAAATTGAATTGAAAGCTCCATTGCCAAAATCAGTAATTACACAATCGCGTCTTTACCTCGCTCACAATCGAAAGTCTTTCAGTGATCAATTAACGTAGAAACCTTCAAAACGGCAGAATTATCGGATTGTTATCAATCCCTCCACCACTACCAAACTCCCCAATTTGCCTGTTGGCCAGCCGCAGCCCTGGATAACGGATCGATAAACTCCAGTCCTACTGCAGCAACAGGGGCCGCACTTTACAACCCGTATCTGGCAGCCCAAGGAAGGGTTGGCACCCCTGGTACCATGACTGGTGCTATGGGAAACCCCTCAGATGTACATCAGGTACTTGCAGCTCTGGCTACAGCAACAACGTCACCCGCAATAATGAAGGATTCTCGATGGCTCACATTGGAAGTCTGTAGGCAGTACCAACGGAAGATGTGTTCCAGAGATGAAAATGAATGCAAGTTCGCTCATCCTCCTTCACATGTGGATGTACAAAATGGGCGAGTAATTTGCTGTTACGATTCCATTAAAGTAAGTTTCAGAATTTCACTCTCAAATTGATCAATTCGAGCACTTGATTTGATCGCGCTTTTTGAGTCAATTAGCTCCAGGAGTCCAGTAATGGGACCTTTTCGGATATTTAGTGCATCTTCTCAACATTTTAATTTGAAATTTCGAAATTTAGTCCAATTGAAGTCTGATTTTCTAACCCAATTCTATGTGGTTGCCATTCCGGCTAAAGTCGTTTCATAAAAATTTGGTGAGCATTTTGAACTAAAACAGAAACCGTACTTTTCTAAGTGAAATTATTTTGAGTCATTCCTTCCGCTTATATTCTAAGTTTATGCAAAAGAAATCATTTTAACACATCTGATTCACATTGTTGAAAAAGGATGACTTATCAGACAATGAGTCAGTCAAAATTTAGTTTCAGCTTGAAATGTGACTTCGAGGCTTGAAATAATTCATTTTGTGACTTTAAAATGAATCAGATTTCTTTAATTTAGTATGGTGAAAAGATTTCCGCATTTTATGAATTCTAAGATGAGTCACAGCACGCTGTATTATTGGTCTTTGTTGTGCTTTCTTAATCTCATTTTTTTAATTTAATTTTCTTTTAAATTTGGTTGTCATTTATATTGTTAAAGTTGTTTTAGCTTTCTTAGATTCTGAAAGCTTTAGAAAGTATCTTAATTTTAAACTGAATTTTATCCTTTGAAAATGCTGTTTTCTGGTTAAAAACATCTAGTTGAAATTTATATTTAAGAGTATCTAATGGGATTTGATGCTAAAAATTTCATGGGTCGTTTTGCTTAAACCTAATTTATTAAATAAGAGGCGCGGCGTTCTGACGTTAATTACTAAGTGATAGGGGATGTTTCTTTTGTTTATTAGTAAATCGAGACTCCACAAATGAATTTGTATTTATCAGGGGTTGTGGAATGACGCCCCTTCAGTTTTAGTTATATATGTGCATGATTTATCTTCTCGAAGTGTATAAAATGTTGATAAATGCCTCTTAATTTCTGTCCGATTCTTGTTTAAATCGTCTGTTGCGTATTCATGTGTTTGTCTGGTATGATCGAAAATGGGTCATTATTTGCATTAAGAGAAATTTAGCTATTTTGTCGAAATAGCTATGTTTTTATAGTTTTTTTAACACACTGGTAGACGTTTGCACATATTTTGTTTGCTTTCAAGAAACAAATACACATACAAATTTATTTGACTCATTACATCGTAAAGTTGGCGTGCGTATAGTAAACAGGGGTTGATGACGATTCATTCGTAAATGTCGCTAATAGGATTGAAATCGATTAGTGATTTATTTAAACCCCCCTCTCTTCCCCCCCCCCCCACTCCTCCCAACTGTATTTGGGTTAAAAGTCTTTCTAATTCAATTGTTTCTTCCTTTAGCCTCATTAGAATCGAGTT